TTTCTTCTGTTGAACATAAAAAATATTTTGAAGAATGTGGGTAACCAAACAGTTGCTGGTCCACAGCGGATTCCATAGTATTTTTTTCCTACTATCAAAGTCAATGTGGACCAGCAACTGTTTGGTTGCCCACATTCTTCAAAATATCTTCTTTTGTGTTCAGCACAAGAAAGAAATTAATACAGGTTTGAGACAACATATGAGTGAGTAAATAACAACATAAATTTAATTTTTGGGTGAACTATCCCTTTAATGACAGGCGGCAGCATGTTTAGTTCTGTCCCTTTAAGAGCTGCACGCATGCGTTTCTCTCACAACTGTTTACTTTCATTTTAGACATAACTAACTGTGTTTATATGTAAACCTCATGTGTTTTTGACAGTATTAGACGCGAAATCAATCAGACGCGAAAGAAAACATAAGTTGAGTTAAGTCTTTCTTTGGCCAAAGAAGATGCTCACAGGAAGGGGGACAATGTATTGTATAAACAGGCTAAATACACACTGGAAAAGGAGATCAGAGTGGCAAAGAGGAATTATTCTGAAAAAATAAGGATTTAATTCTCTTCCAGTGACTTAGCATCAGTGTGGTTATTCCTTATTTTACTTGTTCTATTTTTATTTTTTTTTTATATTATCTGTGTTTTTTGTTCTGTCACTGTCATTCTGTTACACTGTGGAAGCTTCTGTCACGAAAACAAATTCCTCGTATGTGTAAACATACCTGGCAATAAAGCTCATTCTGATTCTGATTCTGATTCTGATTCTGAAGTCTTAGGCCGTTTCTCAATACCAAGTACGCAAAGTTCGGATTGCGTCCTCGGTAGTTCGGATTTCGCAAATTCGGTCCGGTAATTCTGCAAATGGAACAGCAGGGTAGCCTACTTGATAACATCAGTCAGCTCGCCTTGGCTACTCCAGTTATCTTCACTGTATGTATACAATACGACGAAATATGATGTCAAACACCACTGCATCTTTTCGTTTTCTTTTAAACATAGGTCTATTATAGCCGCAAAAATGTAGTTCGGGGAACATACATTACAGTGAAACGAAATATATCAAACAGCATTGCCTCTTTTCTGTTTAATTTAAAATATTATTAGCCACAAAAATGTGGTTCATGCAACGCGTACACGCATTACAATAAAACGAAATGATATCAAACACCAATGCCTTTTCGTTATCTAAATATGAAACAAAAACCCTTTTCGTTTTCATTTAAAAAATATAAAACATGTGGTTTAGGTAATATGCACTCTGATTATCTTCACTGAATGTATAACAAAATGAAATATGACAAGCACAACTGCCTTTTATGTCAGTTTTAATGAACAAATTTAGCCATTATAAAAGTATAACTATAAAGTATAAGAGACTTACAGGTGCATCTCAATAAATTAGAATGTCGTGGAAAAGTTCATTTATTTCAGTAATTCAACTCACATTGTGAAACTCGTGTATTAAATAAATTCAATGCACACAGACTGAAGTAGTTTAAGTCTTTGGTTCTTTTAATTGTGATGATTTTGGCTCAATGGACCAACACCAGCAGATGACATTGCACCCCAAACCATCACAGACTGTGGAAACTTAACACTGGACTTCAAGCAACTTGGGCTATGAGCTTCTCCACCCTTCCTCCAGACTCTAGGACCTTTCTTTCCAAATGAAATACAAAATTTGCTCTCATCTGATAAGAGGACTTTGGACCACTGGGCAACAGTCCAGTTCTTCTTCTCCTTAGCCCAGGTAAGACGCCTCTGACGTTGTCTGTGGTTCAGGAGTGGCTTAACAAGAGGAATACGACAATTGTAGCCAAATTCCTTGACACGTCTGTGTGTGGTGGCTCTTGATGCCTTGACCCCAGCCTCAGTCCATTCCTTGTGAAGTTCATGGACGTTAGTGTCTGTGTGCAGGTTGAGGGGAAGTGCCTATCGGCTTATGTCCAGCGTGGAGCCGTGGAGTGGGTCAATATTTGGCAGGACGTACGGACCCAGACTGCGCTGCTGTTTTGTCTCTACGGTTTCTGCTGTGTTTATTGCCCTCGTTGTCTTTATTCGATTTTCTTTCTTCTTTCTTTGTGTCAGTTGTTTGTTTGATGGTTTTGGGAATATTAAAGGGTTTATTTAGTCATTTTCTTTTCCTAACTTTTTGGGTAATAGTGATCAAGACGGCTGATGTGATATACTGTCAGTGTTTTACGGGGATGATTAGTCACGTACCCTAATGTTTTGCATATATCTGTAGTTTTCTTTCCTATTTTTCTTATTGTGTAATTGAATATTTGTTTTTGTATTTCTTTGTCAGTGCTGAGAGTTCTCCCTTTGGGGACCTAGAGAGATTTTCTTTGGAGTGCAGTGTGGAACACATTTGTTTTTCATACGTGTGGTTGCAGTGGAGAGCACTAGAGTGTGAGGGCTTGTCTGTCGGGGGGTTTAGGATTTTCTCCTTGTAAGTGCTCTCAGCGACCCAGGTGAGATTTTCTTTGGAGTGCAGTGTGGAACACATTTGTTTTTCATACGTGTGGTTGCAGTGGAGAGCACTAGAGTGTGAGGGCTTGTCTGTCGGGGGGTTTAGGATTTTCTCCTTGTAAGTGCTCTCAGCGACCCAGGTGGTGCTTTCAGGTTTTTTTTGTGGTTGTTTTGTTTGTTTCTTATATGTAATTCTTGTTGTTTTCCTCTTTTTTTGTTGTTTTTGTTTGTTCTGCCCCCAGTTAGCATAATATACTTTAATTGGTATCCTTTTTTTTGTTTATGGGTATTTAAAAGGCATCTGTATCGAACATGTCCCCCTGTGAATTGTGACTTCCTTGTTTTTAAACAGAAAATTATTTTTGATGTAATAAAACATTGGTGGCAACTGGCAGAAACGTCTCAATCATTTCTGGGTAGACCGAACCTGTATGGTTGAGTGGTGTATATCCTGGAGTGGAAGTCCCTAGGTGGCGTAGTGGGCTATTATTGCAAATTTTAGGTCAAGGTTGCGGTCTTTTCCTCGATTTATTTCTCTGCCTTACTGTCCTGCCACAGTAGCATCATATTAATGCTAGAAAGCCTATGCATTTGGCAACTGTATTTTTTTTTTTTTTTTAATAAACCATTCTATTTCATAAAATCTATTTTTACACTCATCTTGAGTGAGGGGGCAGGATAGTCCGAGTGAGGGGGGTGGTGGTGCCGGCCCTGAATCCTCTGCTCTGTTGTCTCCTCTGAGGCTGGGACTCTAAACAGTGTTCTGTGCTCGTCAGTGCAGTCAAAGACAGAACAGTTAGCATGTTTTGCTCAAACTTTCACCGTGGCATTAGAGCTACACCGTTGTCGCTTGCGAAATCTAAATGACAGCACCGTGGGTGGAAACTTACAGATGATGGGGTGGTAATATTGTGAGATCCCTTTTCCATGTCACTACCCTGTTGAAAAAAACAGCATATGCTGGTTAAGTATGTTTTGACGCTGGGATGCTGGTTTAAGCTGGTCCTTTGCTGGTTAATGCTGGTCCTTTGCTGGTTTAAACTGGTCCTTTGCTGGTTTAAGCTGGTCATTTGCTGGTTTAAGATGGTCCTTTGCTGGTTTATGCTGGTCCTTTGCTGGTTTATGCTGGTCCTTTTGCTGGTTTATGCTGGTCCTTTGCCAGCACATGACCAGCATAAACCAGCAAAAGGACCAGCATTCCAGCGTCAAAACATACCTAACCAGCATATGCTGTTTTTTTCAACAGGGTAGGGGAGCGAAATCAGACGTGCTCGTTTTTTCAGATGCTTGCAGAAAAAGGTTTACCAAAACAAGGTTACTGGGTTAATCTTTTTCACGTTTCCTTGGTTGGTAGATGCACCGGGGACCTGGTTATAGCACTTAAAACCTGGAAAAGTCAGATTTTCGTGATATGTCACCTTTAAGATGAACCGATTCCTGAATCGCTAGAATGAGTCAGACTCTGAATAACCCATTTATTCGCTGTAAAGCTGTGTAAACAATGAACAGCCATAACGTTGCGTCACACTGATATAGCTTGTTGGAAAAAGTAACTTGTTTTTAAAATACAGCTGACATTCTGTCAAACTGTGGTAGCTGAAAAATGTAGTTAGTAGCTTCAAATTATAGTTTCTATCGGCTGTTTAAAATCAGAACGGACAGTAGAGAAAAGGGGAAAGGGTTAGAAAAGGGTTCGCGATTCAGTCTGAATCATTCATATGATTCACTCACGCACTAAATCGTTCGCGGCTAAAAACAAATGTGCTAGTAAGTCACCTGTAGCAGCCTATATCATATTTAGTGATGCACATGAATACAAAATAAAATAAAAATGCTGCTTCCAAACAATCCTTTGGTGCTGTTTTTCACAAAAAAAAATATAAAGAACAGCATATGTGCATTCTTCCAAATTTATTTTGTGCTCCACAGGTAATTATTATTTTGGTTTATAGATGGGTATGCACGTGAAATGTTGACCCAGTAATGAGTGGTGTCACATGCTGTAATGCTCAGGCTCACTCTCTTCCTCTACATTCTTCCTCACACTCAATCTTTCCTGAAGATACACTTGATGACAGTGTTGTTTATCTTTGAAACTGTGGTGCTGCTATGAGCTCAATTTAAGTGTACAAGAGAAACATCGGGAAAGATCCACTTAAAAGCATCACAGAACAAACTGGATTCCACGACATGAATGACTCACCTGATCATATATTCTCAATATCAGCTTTGTGTTGATTTTGAGCAGCACATTGTCTGTATAATCCAGCCTGATCGGAAATAGGAAATTCCTTCCCTTTCATTTAATCAGCATTATGACAGCTGACAGACACAATGCTATCTGGTCTTCTCTTCCTTACGTAATTCCTAGTCTTTTTACCACTTCCCCTAAAACACACATGTGGTCTCTTGTGTGAATTCTGATCTGAAAGCATTCTTCCCATTTTTCTCTCACACTCTGTCACATTTTATCTCTTCTGACTGCAACCAGACAACAGAAGTGAAGGCGCAGGAAAGAAAAGCCAGATAAAAACTGTTTATTTACTGACAGCAATCCACATTTTGTGTTTTTTGCCCTTTTCACCAAATTGTTCACAGACTCTAATGGAGTCTAGCTCAGTTTTGTGATCACATAAACAATAATCATTTTAATTAAACCTCTGTCACAATAGTTATTAAATTTATCATTAATAATTAAAGGTGGGCAAGACTTCTCCATGTTGAAAAAAAATAGATTAAACCAAGCTGGCCTTAGTTGGATCAAGGTAGTCTCTGCCAGACTAGCTGTCAAGTGCCTAAAAACTCTTTTTTTTGTAGTTCTTGTTGGGGAGTTATTTTTTGAGATCCATTAGAAAATACTATAACATTTCAGCAGAAAGTAATTAAATATTCTTTATAAATCTGTAAAATGTTTAGTCCAATACTGAATCGCTTCAAAATTCACATATTGTCTTGTTACGGATCACAATCCCAATGTGAAACTCAATAAGTAGATCAAATCTGTAATTTCTGTACATATACTGTAGCGGTTTTACTTATGTCACATCATAGACAAAATCTGAGAGATGGACATTACCACTAGTCTTACTTTGAAGACATTATTCAGAGCAGTTCATGTTGTAAAACCCAATGGAGTTGTCCAGATTGCTTGTTTTGTACTCCTCTAAGGAGCTAGACAGGACTTATTTTGAACTTTGTTCATTTGATGGTGTCACTATGACGGTCCAGCAGTCGGTCTGCTGAGGAATTCTTGAATCTCTCTGTTCAGCTGCTCATTGTGCATGAGTGCTTCGTCCCTGCTGCGCTCTGCATTGCGTAGTAAGATCTCTAACGCAGCTTTGCAGCGTCGCTCTGCCTCAAGTGCTGCCTGCAGCTCTGTCACTGTAGCGCTCAGCTCTTTGTTCTTCTGCTGGAAACTGAAGGTACAAACACATACAGAAATTTATATATAGCCTATATATATGAGGTAAGTAAGACTGATCAAAAGTTAAAGGCATTTATGATGTTACGAAAGATTTCCATTTCAAATAAATACTGTTCTTTTCAACTTTCTATTCATCAAAGAATCCTGAAAAAAATTATCACTGTTTCCACAAATATATTAAGCATTATAAAACGGATAGTTCCAGACCTTGATTCTGATTGGCTGAGCCACGTTCGAAGCTGTTGTAAATTACTCTACAAACATACACCTTTGTTTACGTTTGTGTGTTGATCGGCAACCACTTTGTTGCAACAACAACTGATTCTGAGGAACTACATTGTTTGGTGGAAGAATAATGTTTTTATTAATATCATTACACTTTATTTGCTCTGTTTGATTTTGTGAAACCTTACTACGCATATGGAATAACCGTTTTATAAAAGCAATAAGCCCCGTGAAGCCGTGGTTTACAGTGAATTTATAACAGCTAAGGGGGTTATAGGCACTCCGCTTTGCGTCGTGTCTATCAACGCCCCTTAGCTGTTATAAATTCACTGTAAACCACTGCTTCTTGGGGCTTATTGCTTTACCACAACCGTTTTCAATATTGATAATAATAAGAAGAAATGTCACTTGAGCACCACATCAGCAAATTCGAATGATTTCTGAAGGATCATGTGACACTAAAGACTGGCGTAATGGCTGCTTCAATTTTTAGCTTTGCCATCATAGGAATTAATTACATCTTAAAATATATTAAACTAGAAAACAGTTCTTTTAAATTGTAATAATATTTCACAAAATTACAGTTTGTACTGTATTTTTATTTATATAAATGCAGCCTTGGTGAGCATAAGTGACTTTTAAATTTTAATCAATATGTTTTAATTATTGGAGAAAGTCAACGAGATTAACTAGATCCCTGCCACAATAAGAGTGCTCTGAGTTGTTGCAGGAGAGTGTTCTATGTGGTTGCTAACTGTTAGTTACTTAATGGGCCACATTAAGTTAAAATGCTCCCCCCCAAGACTCTTTGACATTCTGGTCCCTAGATATGGCCCAGATCTTACCTTCAATGTAAGTATAAGTCCATTTTATTGTCTAGCATGCAAATATGTCTGAAGGATGTTTGCTTAAATCACTGACCCTTAGCAAACTCCGCTAATTACTGCATGGCAAATAATGATCACAGGTATACTTGTATTGGGCCATACCTGTTGATGATGTTCATTGAGTCAGTGTTTTCTGGTTGAGCTGCACTGCTTTTCTGGAGAGCTGGTGCTGAAGGTGCTGCTGGCTTCTCCCTGCTCACAGCTGCCGCACTCACTTCGTTGCTCGGCCAAGGTTTGGGCAAGGACGCTGTGCTCAGTGCCTGTGTTTTTAGAGCATCTATCTGTTTGTCTACAACATCGCTAACTGTCTTATGCAAGCCGGTGTTCTCTGTGTCCTTTTGTCCTTCAACTTTTTCCTTTTCACTTTTCTGCCCTCCAGAAAACAGTGTCACTTTCTGCAGGTCGAGTAACTTAAAGATGTCCTCTGAGAATGTTTTCTCTTCGTTCTCGTTAAAGCTCTCCTGGAACCTGCTCCAGTGTTCCCAAGAAGGCTCGCGGACTGTTTTTCCCACTGACGGACAGCCCAAGCTAGGTAGAGTTTGAGTCCTTTTTCTGGGGCTGTCGGGCCACATGTCGGTTGTAGATGAAAATGGAGAGGTAGGAGAAATAGATGTGCCTTCTGACCCTGTCTCAGATGACCACAGGTCCTTCCTCTCTTCCTCAGGTGTGTCCATTTCCTCTTCCTCAGGAGATTCAGACAGGGAGGACACCTCACACTTTGAGAGAAGAGTGATACGATCAGTTAAGAGATACAGGTGTGAAAGTAACGCAGTGACAGCTCCAAAAAAAACGCAACCTTGACAAACAGTAGGTGTATTCCTCAAATATGATTGTATTCTCATTTTGAAGCCTACAAACAAAAACCTTTCCAGCTATTTTGATTGCTTGTTTTTTTATTTTTATAAATTACATTATAAATAAGATACCTTCTAAATTCTAAAATTCTCTAAAGAAAATGTACAAATTTTCTAGCTGAATAATTTAAAACTGATAAAATATTTAAGAATTTTGAAATGTCCTGATATTGCCAAGCATAAGGCCAAATGTATTTATTTTTTTAAACACTACCATTCAAAACTTTGGGGTAAGTAAGAGCATTTTGAAAGACATCAATACAATACAAAAAATACACATTAAATTGATCAAACATGACAGTAAAGACATTTATAATGTTGCAAAAAGTCTCTATTTCAAATAAATTCCTTGGAGAAAAAAAATATCACCGTATACACAAAAATAACATTTCCTGAACACTAAATCAGCATATTAAAGTGATTTCTGAAGATTCATGTGACTGACTGGAGACTGGAGTAATGGCAGCTGAAAATTCAGTTTCGCTATCACAGAAATAAATTAAATTTAAAATATATGAAAATATAAATATATTAATACCATTTCACAATATTACAGATTTACTGTATTTTTGAACAAATAAATGAGTCTTGGTGAAAGGACTTCTTTCAAAAACATTAAAAACTCCTACCGACCCCATATTTTTGAACAGAATATTTTTAATGTTCCATGATTTTATTATTTATGAATTCTCCAGGCCTATAAATCACAATTTTAAAACGGTCTGATATTTGCAAGTTTTCCATAAATATTTTTTTTTTCCATGATTATTTTACGTGATCAGTACCTCTGCAGACTCCCAGCCCACAAAACTGCGAGGGTTACTGTTCTTCTTGCTTTTGTTTTTCTTGCTCGGAAGAGGAGATGGCAGCATGTCTTTAGAGAGTGGGAAAAGCAGCCCATGGTGTCTGATCATCACCGTCATTACCTTCTGTATCATGGGAGTTCCTGTGTGTGTGAGGTGAGAACAATGATCATCGCTACAATGTGCTAACCATAAACACCATACTTGAAATCTCATTCTTACTCATTGCAGTTCAGGTTAAATACCCCAGAAACAACCAATGAATTTTTTTTACTGTTTGACGTTAAAACAGAAAGTTATGAGTGTGATATGTCAAAGGATTTGTTTTTAAATATAGCCAATAGCCTTTAGTTTAAAACATATTACCCAACTGTTGAACTACTGAATATATAGCATGAAAAGTTTAGTGCAGAAAAAGTAGTATGCTAGTATGCCATGATATGCTTTTTGCTTTTGCAAGGGATATTCTCATTCTAGAGAGCATTTTGCTGGACAAAAATACAAAAAATTAGAGCAAGAAATTATGTCATTAATATTTTAGGTTCATTTTTTTCCAGAAAAGAAAGGCTGTAAATTTTAATACTGTCTGCCTAATATGTATAGGCCTATGTATATTTGAACAGACGTGGATTAAAAGGACAACACAAAATTTTGAATTCATGAGGTATTTTAAAAACAATATAAATGACATATGTTTTCTTTGTCTTAGGATGATAAATGACCTTTCATCATACTGATGGCGTCCTCCACTTGTGGTTTGAACAGGTTCACTCCCATCACTGTGGCCAGATTCTCAACACTCATCTTATTCACCTTTGAGTTCTGTTGGACCTCAAAAAGGAATCTGCAAAACCAAATATGGATATACCAGGGTCAGCTTGTTTTTGCTCCTATCAGTGTCTGATCCTTTTTCATTCTTATAGGGACTTGTACCTGCAGATGTAACTCAGAAGGTTGTAGTTCACTTTTGGCAGAAGGCTGATTTGTTCCTCCAGCTTTTCTTTGCCCTGGGATTGATCAGATTGCAGTTAGTCAAAGAATCATTACTCTTCTGATTTACTGTCTTTGTGAATGTGGTTCTCACAGCTGCAGTGGCGGCATCCAGCATCAGAGTGCTGTCAAGGAAGTCCTGATATTGAGTCCAGGGCACAACAGGTTCAGGAAGCTCTCTGAGGTACAACTTAAGTAAGGACGCCACCGTGTGGACATCAGTGTCACTGCAGGCAGAAGGTATAAACAAATAAAGTAACAATTTGACATTGAGTCATTACAGTCTATTAATCTTCTTTGCAGTCAGAAAGGATGAAGATGAAATGCAAAAACAGTTGCTTGTCAAATGGATATGTGCGTGTGTTAAATGGCAAGATCAGGACAGGATGTGGCTCAGCTGCACACAGTGTGTGCCAGCCAGGTTCCTCTGAAATAGTGTGCTTTTGTATTTCTCTTTCTCTATCTCTCATGCTTTTGCATGTCCTCTCTCTCTCTCTCACACATCTAGTTCAAACTTTCTGGGTCAAACTCTTTACCTATTCTACTTCCTCAAAATAGCAATGAAGACTTTAGTGTCACCATAAATGGTCATGCAGAGTGTGGTTATCCACATAAAAGCCCCATTTGCATGCAAACTTTAAAGAAAATTGCATGGTCACAAAATCAGGTACAAAAAATCATATTAAAATTAAATCTTTTAGTAGATTATGGATATTTCTTGACTGTTGGACATTTAATTATTTCATTTATTTAATGCTTCTCTTCACCAAATGCAGTAAAGAGTATTCTGAAGTTATTGCAAACAAATAAAATAAATAAAATAAAATAAGCCATTGTATTACCTTTTTTAAATTCAAAAGTCTTTAATTCAAAATTTAAAAATATATATATATTTATTTTAATACATTTTAATACAAAAGTGAAGGTAAAGATATTTGTACAATCATTAATTTATTTCTAATAAATGCTACTCTTTTGAACTATTAATTCATCAAAGAATCCTGTTTCCACAAAAATATTAAGCAGTCCAACTGTTTTCAACATTAATAATAATAGGAAATGTTTCTTGAGCAGCAAATCAGCATATTAAAATGATTTCTGAAGTATCATGTGACACTGATGCCTGGAGTAATAATGCTGAAAATTCAGCTTTGCCATCATAGGAATAAATTATTATTTTAAAATATATTAAAACAGAAAACAGTTATTTTAAATTGTAATAATATTTCACAATATTTCTGTTTTTACTGTATTTTGTACCGTACGATACTTTATTTGATCAAACAAATGCAGCCTTGGTTAGCATAAGTAATTTATTTCAAAAACATAAAAAAATCTTACAGACTCCAAAAGTCAGAATGGTAGTGTGCCATGGTAATATCATGGTATTGTTTGAAGTACCTTTTAAATGCATGGCACATGAATGTATTAAGTATTCAATAGAATGGTACATATCAATATTACCATTGCATGCCATTACTGGACTACGGTACCATCACAATACTTTCTGTAAACAATATGCTTTATTCAGATCAGTTCTCTACACCATCCTTGCGCCGTTTCACACAGATTTACACATGTGAAGCTTTACCTGGGGAACGAGGGTCTTTCTCCGGCATCAAAGGCCTCTCTGAACTGTTTGACCTGGTTGTCCTGTCCTGGCAGGCGAAAGATGCCCTCCTCAATCAGACCTTGCTCTCTGATGAATTCAGCACACTTCTCCACCAGGATGGGCACCAGACGTGACCCAAATTTCTTCTCATATACCATGATGTCTGAAAGGCTCTTCCCAAATACTTTACATAAGAACATAATAATTTTATTGAATAGCAGTGGCAGTCTATGAATTCATATCATTATAAATAGGTAATAGGGTTTCATTGGGGTTACCAGTTTTAACCAATAGTCTACACCACCATACACTCTAAGAAAAGTCTGAAAAGGAATTTTCTGTATTGATTTTTCACAGGTGTTTTAGCACCCAGTTTTTGTCATTTAACATTATTCATTACATTGTGTTGTGTTTTAGAGTTAAAGGAAATGTCCTGGCAGAAATGTTTTTTCTTACAGTATGAGAGAGAATGATTATTATGAGAACCTCCCCAATCTATAACAAACACATTTATATTGTTTATTATTTGTATGATGAATGATAGACACCTCCATTGGACCGTGATCCGATGGCTTTGCGAATGGAGCGCACCCACTCTTCTATCTCGCTCTGACTCGTCGCCATGAGAACATAGGCATCCCGCTCCCGATCTGTACTGCTACCTGAAGCATCAGGGACAAAACAGCTGTATGACTTTACCCTCCAACATATACAGTAGTAGCCCATGATATCTTGCACTATACAATATAACCAACTTGCATAGATAACCGGCCTGTGATACATGTAATAATACAACTAAATAAAAAGACTTACCTGGGATAATCTCAAACAGGAATTTATCATCTGCATTTGATGGTAGCTCATTAACTTGGCATGAGAACAAAGGTATAGTTCCCTGAGATCAGAATGAGACAAGAGAGAATAGTTACTGAGTGGAAAATAAATTAGTAAATAGAAAATAAATAATAGTAAATAAATTTAGTAAATCAGTAGATAAAATGATGTCATAACACAATAATAATAAATATTATATATAAATATAATATAAATAAAAGCAAATTTCACTTTTGTAGAAATAAAAAACATTACGCTATTGGTTTTGAATGTCACTATCAGTTTGAAAATATTTAGTTGACATACAGACAGATTCAGACAGAAAAGTCTGAGACCACACTGAAAATCTAGAATTCAAGATTTACATTGAACCTTAAAATAAACAAAAGAAAAGGATTAAAAATATAGAACACAATATTATAATTAAAAATAAGGACGACATTTTTACGATTCTGGATAACATGGAAATCACATGACCAAATATCTGAAGCCAAATACCAAAAAATAAAGAAAAGAAAAGAAAAAACTAAATTCAACTTTTCATGACAGGACTGGCATTGGAAAAAAATAAAAAATTAAAAACCACAGGAAAGAAGAAAAAGAAAGATGTAGACAGAAAAAAAAATCACTGCATTAAAAATAATAACAAAAAAATGTAATGTTTCTATTGCTCATGCTTGCTTGTCTCCTACCTGGACGGCACTCTCTCTGTCATCTTTATGGTATGTAAGGACGTTTCCTCTCAGCACAAAGAAGCGCAGCTGCCAGTTCTTTACGATGGATCTCTGCTTCTTCAGCCAACCCGTCTTCAGAGGTTTCTCCATGGATCTCTTAAAACCAGTGTGAGTGGATCCAGGGCTACCTTCCCCTGGCATAACACTCATGGAGCGAGCTGAGGTGGAAACCGATAAAAAGCAGGCAGAGAATAAAACACAAACACACAGATGAGTCCGAGACTTGCTGAAAATCAAATCACCTGTCACTGAACTAATTCTATTTTTATATCATGAGAACATCATGCATATATTGTGGTGATGACAGTGGGTAACTGTCTGAGCCTAGCAGCTTCCTGCATGACAAATATTTGCAGACTGGCTGTAATTGTCTTAATGCTGAAGAAAATGTCCTGCTGTGACTTTAGGGTCGTGAAAAAGACCAGTTCTGACAGGAACAATAGCATGCACTTAAGCAGAAACGGCTTTCGATGTTACTGTGCAATGGATTGTTCGATAGCTCAAAAGGGTATTATTGGATCTTGACTCTTTCCCACATGAGTTTGAGAACTGAAACATCAAAGAGAAACCTTTTATTGTTCAGAGATTGCCCTTTTATACCTTGAGAGATCTAATGAAGTTCTCAGTTATGTTTCATTCAAGAATCAACCTGGTTTTAGATGTTTATGCATAGAAATAAAAATAAAAAACACAAGTTAACATACAATAGGTGCACAGAGCTTTAAGATTTATGTGGATATAGCTTGGACAATTCAAGATATAATTTAAACCTGGAAATAAACCAAAAGAAAAAAAAAAGTAAGATTCTGGATCACATGATCATTAGGTTTTATACAAACGTATAGTTCATGCAGCTCAAGTCACATGCTGTCAAAGCATAAAAGAAACAAACCGAATACTTAAAAATTGTGATTTTTCAATTAAATTTCAACCTGCCATTCAGGTTGTATATCGTCGACTAATACTAGTTTTAGTTCAGTCATTTGACTGACAGAATACTGAATAAAATAAAATAAAACTTCAGGAAAGTAATAAAAAGATGTAGACAGAAAAAGAGAAAAGAATGCATAATGCGTTAAATAATAATAAATATATGTTAATCATCTTTCATACTTTGAGAGACTTAATGAAGTTTTTTTTAATTACACAGTTTGACATAAGTGTACAGATCTTTAATATTTATGTGGACATTTGGTTTTGAAAAAAACTTAAACCAACCTAAGGTGGTTTGCTGGTTTAAGCAGGTCTCATGGCCTGGTCAAACTGGTTTGTTAACTGGTTTTAGAGTGGTTTGGGACACTTTTCCAGTGGTCAGGCTCGGAGACCAGATTGCTGCCAAGGTAAACCAGTTCAAACCATCTTACTCCAGCTAAGAGCAAAACATGACTAGCATTTTATTTTATTTTTGTCAGTAGGAGATTATAATATAATATTGATAGAATTAATATTGAAAAACATGACTTTCATTGCAGACTTGATTGCATGTAAATCTTTGTAAATTTGAGAATAGCATTATAAAAACACATTTTTTTTTCCCTCACTTTCTCTCAAAAAGTCTCCATTTGTGCTCCATTTGAGCCCATTGGTGTCTGGGAAAGAGAACTAAGACACTAAAGAGATCCCATTTGTGATTTTGCTTTCTGGTGGGATAGCCCATAGCAAAGGGAGGGTGGAGTAGAGACCCCTGTGATTGAGAAATAAGAAAAACTGAGAAGTTGAGAGGCAGAAAATAAGAAAATGATATAAGCATCCCAATCAGCTGCTTAGTGAAGCCACAAAACACTTGACTTCATGTCGTCTCTTTGATAAGAAAGCATCTACAACAAATACATCTCTAGAAGGCAACCAATCAGCCATTATCTAATTGACAAGAAACGGTGTCGCAGTGATGTAAGCAGCTTGGGGTTTTTTGTAGTCAAATTTGCTATAACCCATTGAGATCAGAGGAAATGGCAGAAGAGAGAGAACTAAGATAAACAGGAAGTTACAAGCTCATCAGCCACAGGAAGTAGCATTTTTGAAAGAGCCCCACCTAAAACCAGCCTCTTTGGTCTATTTTGAGAAGATCTTCCCTGATGGAGAGCACGGACCGCTGTTCTCTCTCCTGGACCATAGGCCCACACACATTGTCCGGCTTCAGACCTCACCCATTTCAATGACACACGCTGGGATCAGGGGAAGGGAAGAGAGCAGGTTCAAACTCCCCATGAATTACCGAGGAGATCACAGCAGAGATGCAAGAAGCTGTTTGCGTCAGGCTTAAGTTTGTGACATTAGTAAAGGGACTGTTGATCATTTACATTCAGCAAAACAGCTCTGCATGAAAATGTCTTAGCAATCTTTCATTAAAATAATTTAATACTTTTTTTAATTTAATAATTTTTCTTTTCATCATCACTATCTTCCTTTTTTCCAATTCTACCAATTCCTTGTTAAAAAGTCAAATCCTGCCTTAAATTTTTTTTTTCCATTGAACACCCTGTTTCACTCAGAAATACGTAACAGATAAAATGTTGCAAATAGATATGCACAATATTAAAATTCTGTCTGACAGGAATAGTTTTTAATGTTATGGCTGGTAACTTATAAATGGCTGATATTAAATTTCTAAATAGTTGTTTAAATCTAAATAGTTTAAATAAATAAACAATAAAAACTGTTAAAATTAAAATAAAACAGTAATAGCTTAAATCAATCATTTTACAAGGTGCAAGTGAATTTAGGCATCACAACATTAGAATATCCATTGTAAAATATAGATATTCATTTCGAGTATTAATAATTAATTTGTTTGTATTTTTAAATTATTCATATTTTTACAAATTCAAAGTGAGTGTTAGATGATGGCAAAAGTAACCTAAAATGCAAAAATAGGGGAAATGAGCATGCACAATTAAAAATGCAGCACTGACTTGTATAGATAAAATATCAACTGGTATATATAAAAAAACAATAAAAATGTACAAATAAAATTAAAAACAAAAAAATCAAAGCCCCAGAATTGAAAGAGTGGGCCAATGCAATGGTAGAAATCGCATCTTATGAATCCATGCTTAATCGAATAAATGGTGTTAGAGAAGAGGGGTTGTCTTCCTGGGAAGAGTTCTGGACATATATAACAGTAAGGTCTCAAAATGAATAGACAACTATTGTGTGTTCGGTCTTGCACTGTATTGTATTTCATGGTCAAAATGTGCCTGTAGAAATTTGTATCCCTGTACTTGTTATCCATCAGCCTTCCAAAAAAAAAAAAAAAGCAATAAAAACTTAAATTAAAAAAAATAATGATAATTTTCAAAACTCTAGAATACCAATATATTCTGCACCCCTATATGAACACTGTTTTTGCCGACTTTAAAAAATTTGGCTGTACTATAAGATGCTTTGAATAAATAATATCAGTGAAATATCAAGTAACAATACACTTTATATAATAAGAGCAATGTAAAGCCATCAGAAAATTATCATGATGTGAGAAACACTTGCTTTCTTAACCTAGGATACTGCTGAGGGAACGTTAACCAAAGACCTTGTAATAGGCCGCATAGCAGATCATTATCTAGCATTTAACAGTATGCTGACATTTTGAGCAGAGAATAAACATGTTTCGCAGAGTGTCGCAGCGTCTTCCTGTCTGCAGCATGTGAAAATTACACACTCGGAGGAAATCACGAATGCTTTGCATCTCAAACAGACAGTGCACAATGAGACCAGAAACGCCACGAGTCACCGCATACAACCATAAAACTGCCTCTTTTTATACTTGATTGCACCATAAATCTGCTATTAAAGTTATGCGTTAACTCTTTAACAAGAGTTTTTGAACAGCCTGGAGATTAATGAGAACGTTTAGTCAAATTAGAAAGGAAGTTCTACAAATAATCTTGTCACAATGACTATACAACACATCAAAAGGTGTGTCAGAGATTCAACAGAAACCGTGTAGCAGATGAGAAGTGCTTAAGTGGGTTATATAGCCTCAGGGTGAAGTCTTTATACCATCACTATGCCACTTTTGTCTGTGATTTACAGATACTGTAAAATCCTAATCTAAGTTACACTAAACACATCTGCACCATCACTGTCCAGTCAATTACATTTCCAATAACATAAAAGTCACACATTACATGCATCAATATAGACCAAAACTCTAGTTCCTATAGTGACAGAAGGCCTGTTGTGTCAATGAATCACACATAAATCTACGCACCTGGCCAAGTGAAATTCCTAAAACATGAAAAAGACTTTGACCTTTGCCCACACACAAATAAACACACAGTGTCACTCACCTATCTTGGCGGTTTCAGCTCTGAAGGTGCTGAAGTCCCAGTTGCGAGGTAGTCTCAAAGACATTTCTTCAAAATCGGACCGAAAGGTTACACACGCACAGACACACTCGCACACATTCTCTCGTTCACACACACACACACACACAATCACAAAACACACTGTGAACTCTAAGAGTACATTCTTTCCAGTCAGCCTCTCTTCTTCTCTTTACTTCCTCCTTCCTCTGCTGATCTGATTCTTCTTCTTTTTTTCTTTAACACCTCCAAACACGTTGAATCTGCTCCTAGGCTCGCATGTGGAGTTTGTGTGAGCAAACCAGCAATCCAAGAGTTATTTTGAAGTTCCTACATCCAGCATTTCTGTCAGGCTGTAGAGAAACAGCAGAGCAGCACTGTCACTCCTCGTACCCACACTCTGACTCTTCATGAGCAGAGGAAGTGAGTGGCAAATTCAAGACAGCCACAGAAAAAATAACAGAGGCGATGCATTTTTACACATGCGAAAATGCAGAATACAATTGTGCAGGATGCACCTCAACCAATGGGGCCACTTTCTTCTCAGACATTTGTCATCATTCTCTTGGAGAGATGTACCATGGTGTTTCTTTGCTCGTCACAAATCTCAAAATATTTTAACATCTAAAATGAACACAAAACTGTTTCTGTCATAAAAAGGAAGTTAAAACAGCAGAAGGAAGAGATCAAATTTTAGTATATTTATATATACTAAGGTTTCCTTTTTATTAACCATTTACAAATGAGCAAATCACTGTACACAAAGCGGCAGGGAAAGCACATTTATCTGCTTTATCAAAATTACAAAATCAAATAGCCTACATCAGAAATACAGACCATAATACTTAAAGACAAATAACAACAACATATTGAGCTGTTGTTGTCCATTTGTTTAACAGAGAGGAGTTTTTTTTCTTCTCAGTGGCAAACCGTAAGAGCTTAACACGTCTGAGTGGGTTTAACATTTCTGTTTTTACTTCAATGGTCATGAATAAATCGCCAGAAATACAGAGAGCACAACTGCACTGCAGTCAGTTTCTCTCTGACACTTCAAGAGTGTCATACTTTCTAAGGATGGAATGTCATGGCAGTGTTTACGAATAACAGAAGTAAGGCTTCACATTAAAGGGGTCATAAACTGAGAAATCAAAAGTCCCTTTATCTTTTGACATATAAGAAGTCATTGTACTATAAAAACCTCCTGTAAGTTTCAGAACTCAAAACTTTCTCGTTAGTCTAAAAACAGCTTATCTTGAAGCCAATCTGCCAAAACGACAGGTTGTGGAATGTGTCACTTTATGACGTAATAGTGTGGCTAAGCCCCGCCTCCTCAGATGATGATCAACGCCTTTTTCTACATCACTGCCTGTTTAGCCCCGCCCACCGATTCGCACATGTAGTGTAAATAACGAGAGAGGCAAACGCAGATCTACACAGAAATCAAACTATAAAGATGGCTTAGAAGACAGCAAGACACTGCAGTGCCAAGTTGTGGAAAAACAGTCTTTGCATTGCCTTCCTTCTGAACCTAACATCAGGAAATAGTGGATGAACTATTGTGATTTTTAATGAAGATCCAGATTGCTTGGTCCTTTGTTCACATCATTTTTACCACGAACCGTACCGAGCCGTACCATGCAGTGGAAAAGCGCCATTAAAAACAATGCTGTGGCGACTATATTGGATCCAACAGTAATGTCGCACCACAGAAGTGTGAGTAACTGTTTTTATTACATGGTCACTTGCTTTGTCCGTTATTACAGATCGTTTGATATGCAATTACGCAGTATTTATGCGTTTTTAACCTAAAACACGCTATCTCTGAAGGATGTCAATTAGGCTGTCAAACATACATAACTGTTAGCCAATCATATCAGTGGGCGTTTACTTCGGAGTCTACAATCCGCCACGGGGACAGAAAATAGCCTATTACTTCTAAATGATGTTTTTGATGTAAAAATGGTGATAACATTATAAGTGGACCTCAGAGAACAGTACAACATAAAAAAAGGAAGTTCATGACCCCTTTAAAAACTGTCTAAAACATTGTAATGAACAGAGTATTAGTGTCGTTTCTATAGCACTTGTTAAACCCCACCCACAAAAAAAAGAGATGGTTTGGTGCCCTCTAGTGGCAATGAATGGCACGCGCAAGAGTCTGAAGATCTGGCAAGTGTTCAGCATGTAACGTAGACCTACTATCACAGAAACAAGAGCTAGATATTTTAGCATGCATTTAAGACTCTAAGATAAATGTGTCTCTTTATAAATGTTTATGGTCACCACACTCAAACGCATTATGTCTCTGCTCATCCTCCTGACACCAGTGACGTGTCTGTAAATCTCTGTTGACTGTAAAACATTGAAATTGCTCTGTTAACGTCTGGAGTTTGTACAGTACGGGAATGTTTCAGCACGTGGGGGCTAATACATACACAGAGCACAGACTGGCTTAGAGGAAAGAATAAGAATAGAATCATCTCTACGTCAAACATATACTATATAATCTTATTCTAATATAATGTAATTCTCTCTATAAAATCTGCAGATTGTACTGAGGTTCAATAACACGAAATCATAATGAATAAAACATTCATCACCACTTAACAGATGAAGATGTGTTTGTTTAGTGAATTCAAAAAAATAAATTAATACATTAAAAAAAACATGCATTGATGGTGGATGGTGAAAATACGGAGGGGCTTTAAATTTTGCACACGAATTTATGGTCATAACTCTTCAGCAGTGTGACGCAGTGTTTATTATTGTTACGTCACTGCTCTGTGCTCCATACTTGGCTTGAGCTGTCCATCTAAATCATGTAAATGAACAAAAGCAAAACAAAAATTAACATTACTCAGGTAATAAGCTGCCTATTATATATCTTTCATATATCGCATATATATTATATATCTTTCAAGACCTGTGGTCATAAAAAGAAAACATGCTAAAACAAAAGTCAGTGAGCTTTTAACCGAAAAACAGGAATATGCCTAATATATACTAGTCAACATTTGAAGTGGATCAATACCTTTCATCAAAGTTGTCCTAAAACCAAAATGCGTTCTTGTCTTAGGACAACTTTGATTAACTTTTTTGATCCACTTCAAATGTTGACTGCTGTATGATTTGCCCATCAATAGTTTAATCAGTCATGTCAATACACACAGGTCTGAAAGTATGTGCTCATGGATCTTTATTGATGAATGGCAGAGGACTGTACGTACAGACTGTGGCTTACAGACTAACCTGAGCCCTTGCATCTTCATACAGCTTACTGTAGAACACTACTGCGCACTACTCTTTTAAAGCTGCTCGATGACAGCCATTAAAGGGACAGTTCACCCAAAAATGAAAATTTGATGTTTATCTGCTTACCCCCATGGCATCCAAGATGTAGGTGACTTTGTTTCTTCAGTAGAACACAAATGATGATTTTTAATGAATCATTCATCTGCGTGCTCAAAGCAGTTAGACATAGTGGTGTATTAGAGGTAAAATATGATATAAATACTGTTCAGTTTCTCGCACAAAACGATCGTTTCGTGTCTTAGGACATCAATGTGTCATCACGAGTCGCAGGGTTTAATTTGGATTTGTCTGTGCATGTTTTTTTTACTCTCATAGATTTTGTTACCATTGCCATGCATTATATGACTGATAGGCTGCAACGGCTGGAGTTAAAAATCATCATTTGTGTTCTACTGAAGAAACAAAGTCACCTACATCTTGGATGCCCTGGGGGTAAGCAGATAAACATCAAATTTTAATTTTTGGGTGAACTATCCCTTTAAGGTTTCATTTTCTTAAAATAAATATTTGTTTATGGCAGGTGCGTTAATGACATCACGTATTAGAGAGGAACAAAATACCTTAAGCAAAACACAATAGTTCTGACCCTTTTTTGGTTGAGTTTACACAGCAGGTGATGGTAGAAAAAAAAAACAGATGAAATAGAATTATAAAATGAGATGTGGTGGACTTGGTCTCATGCAGTGAAAATGGTGAAGATGGCTCAGCCTGATCATTAACCATTTAGCATGTAACAGTTCACAAACACACACAAAAACAACACCCATAGCTTGACTATGATTAGCTTGTAAATGCTCAGTGACGATAGAACATTAAAATAAAACTAGAAATGATAAAATTATGATTTAGACCACAAACAGTAATTCTTAAAACATTTAACATTCAGTGCAAAATGTTTGTCAACATCTCCAAATGGTCTTTTTCAGTGCTGAGTAACAGCTAATTATTATTAACTATTAACAACTTAATTATAATTAAAGTTACCTTTGGCTTACAGGGACCGTTTCTTTGCAACAAACATAAAAGCCACGTAATTCTAGTCTGACGAGGCCTTAACTTCCTCTCCAACACTGAATAATGACATCTGAATCTTCTCCTTACCTTGAGGAAGTACAGTATACATACAGTCTCACAGCTGAACTGTAACAGTCACCACCTATTGGGCTGAAGCGCACATCTGATATCAATGACCATAATTCGCTTAAATATAATGTTACAAAAATGTCAAAACCTAAGACCAGGGAGACAAATATGAATTACGGCACACTGCAGTGAAAATACAATATTTTTTGAAACTATGATGGGGTATGGAAACACCTGTTAGCAAAAAATAAACAAAGGCTAGCCTGAGGTTGAAATGACAGTGTGATGAGCAGTGCATTAAAACAAAATAAAACAGTGTAAACTATAAAATATTCAGGCAATCAATAGGTACAGAACATTTGTACACAAGTGGAATTGTACAGCTCAACTCACAAAGAACTGTAACAACAACGTCAATGTTATCTTAATATATATATAATATTCTTTTGTGGCATAAGAGATAAACATAAAACAAACATTCACAAAAAATAAAATAAGCAAAACCACCGATTTGTACACACACAAACACACACACACACACACACACACACACACAAACAAACAAACAAACAAACAAACAAATACAAACC